CGGTTTAAATATTTCATCAAGTAAAAGTAAAATATGTATATTTAAAAACGGATTTAAGAAAGATATTATTAAAATTAATATAAATAAAAGTACTCTTGAAGTAGTTGACACATATAAATATTTAGGATTATGGCTGGATCGTTCTCTAAGATGGTCCAAACATATAAATGAGCTGAGAGATAAGATGTCGAAATTTCTTAATGTGTTTAAAATACTGGCTGGCCCAGGATGGGGAGTACACCCGACTCATTTGCGACGGTTATATATTGCCATTATACGTAGCAGATTAGATTACGCGAGTTTTTTATACCACAACAGTTGTCAAACTAATCTTCATAAATTATCTAAAATACAGAATCAATGTCTGAGGGTCATTGGGGGTTTCATAAAAAGTACACCCATACATGTGATGGAATGCGAACTTCATATACAGCCGTTGCATATTCGCAGATATTACTTAGCTGGCAAATGGTATTTGAAGCTAAAGTCTTTTATAGGTGATAACACCTGTGAAATTATCAACACCCTATACAATAACTGCCAAGGTACTCAGTGGAGACGCAAAAAAATACCACTCTTAGTTCACATATCTGATATATTTAGTAACACAGTTGTCGATGTTGATTGTCATAGCGAATTGGGATTATTCTCGCTGAACACGTGGATAAGCAGTGTGAACTTGTTCTGTATGATTAACCCGCATATTGAAGAGATTACAGAAGCTAAAAAATTATACAATATTAATCATCTTCGAAGTATTTGCTATGAACATTTTAACACAAATTACTCGGGATATTATACTTTATATACAGATGGATCTAGAATAGGAGATGCGGTTGGTGCGGCATTTTATGATCCTCAAAATAACATAACTTGTAAATTTCAACTTAACCCAAAAATATCGACCATGCACTCGGAATTAGTCGCAATTTGCGAAGCTGTGTCATATCTTGATTCTATTAATTTTAATAATTGTGTTATATATTCGGACTGTAAAAGCGCACTCCAACATTTACTTAAATGTATAAAGAGTAACGGTTATCCTGTAGCATACAAAATTATAGATAGTATGGTTAAGCTTAGGAACAGGGACAAACACATTGTATTACAGTGGTTGCCCTCCCATATCGGCATTAAAGCAAATGAGAGGGTAGATAGTCTGGCTAAAGAAGCTTGTTTTGACGGTATCCCAATGACACATAAACCGCATTGGACGGATGTTTTAAGAGAAGTTAAATTAAAATGTTACGATAATTGGAATGAATATTTTGACGAAAAGTCGTTGACCAAAGGCATTTGGTATCGCACGATGCGACCGACTGTATATACGTTCCCGTGGTTTGATAATGCCAATATGAGCAGGCAAGAAATTGTGACGAGTTTGAGACTTCGCTCCGGACACATTCCATTAAATAGTTTTGCTGCAATGATGGGTAAAGTAGTGTCACCAAATTGTACGGAATGCGATATTGTTGAGGACGTGTATCATATCATAGTGGAGTGTGTCCGGAATGATGCAGATAGATGTCGGATACAAAGAGAATGTAACATAGATTTTCGTGAATTTGGAATATGTAATTCAAGTCTAGCCTTTCCAACATCTAATTCTGCTAAGATAATTTACAAGTTAGTTCATTTAGGAATTAAACGTAGATTATAAGTTTCCAATGTTAATATTTCTAGTGTTCCTATGAGGATGACATGTTCGTTATATGAACAAATCCTCAATAATCAATAAAGAATTAAAAAAAAAAAAAAAAATGTTGTTTACCATCAACCATCTTCCGGTGTTATGTTTACGTTTCCCAAGCGTAATCAAGATAACGTTTCATTCACAGGACTCCGAAATAATTAGTTAATGAATGACCGTCTGTTTGTTCTAAACGAGTTATTATCGTCTACTTATGTAGTGTTGAAAGTTAGCTGGAACTCGTAAGTAAATGGAGCTCTCGCACGGCATAAGTAAACAAGTACAGTTGATGCATTGATTAGTCACACCTATATTAAATACAATCGAGATGTTGATGTCAATTACACGTCGATCCCTTGACACATACTTGTATGAGCGCTGAGTCACGAGGAGAATAATTTCACCTCGCACCATGATCCTCGTCATCATGATATCATTACTGATTTGAACGTTGAACTTGCTTAGCTGGCGATTTGTTTGGTGAAATCATACCGCTAACATTGACTTCCGTGCTTGTTCGTGGAAATCTCACCGTGAAACGTTTCGATACCAACTATCTACATATATGCATTGCGATAATTAATATCAATTTAAGGGAACAAAGATAATGTTATGCATATCGCTGGAGATATACATATTTGTACCTACCTAGTTTGTATAGTAACATTAAGGTACATAAAACTAGATAGATAATAATTTTAATATACAAGTCGGTCAAATATACTAACTTTGTAAAATTGTAGGTAGATATAAAGTGTTAGGAAGTTTTATACTAAGTAAGTATTATACTAGTACCTACTTACAGTATTATATTCCGGTTTATGTAGGTTACATTTTATTTAAATGATGACAAGAGAAATAGAGAACAAAATATATAATGACATGCGCAGAGTTCTTTGTTACAATGCTCTGTCGTCAGGGTCAAGGTGTACGTACGTTACCTACATATTGTGGAACTTACCTAAATGGCTGTTCATCGTTCGTTTAGTTCCTGAAATAGGGGCATGTATGCGAATGGTCTGTATTAGTGCATAATAGGTCCCCAGACAAAGATGCACATAGCGCTTTACTTTTGTGACTGGGAACTTGTTCTGTGAGAAACCAAAATTGCCCGGTGAACAGTCTGACCTGTGGGAATTAACACTGGTGCCATAAAAAATATAACAAAGACTGTGAGGACGTTATATTTCCGCGTTGGGAAGGGGTTGTAAAAATATCTTGTTTGGTTTGATACACACAAGGAACTGTTTTTGTTAACGATCCGAAGTATAAACGGGTTCTCAGCCTTCCGGTTACCGTTTATTACTATTATTGAATTACTTATCCGTTATGATCGTGTGATTTTTGCATTGCAGTGGACACTATGACATGATTCTGTTACTTGGACCATCTGAATACAATTGTTGTTGATTGTAAGTATTATTATTTGTAAATTGTGGCTGAGTAACGCAAATTTCCAACACCTGGCATATAAGTAAGACGTAAAAATGTATGTGATAAAACGAAGAATTTGTTTCATATTCTTGTGTTAGATTTAATATTGTACAAGATTATGATAGTATTATTTATTATTGGGTAAAAATAGGCACTTACTTAGTTTCATAAGTAAGCACCTAGTTTTACCTGCAGGTCATATGGCGTGCATATATGTACCTAATTATAATGCACTACCAATAATTGATTTCATCGATATTGAATGAACACGTTTGTACCTGTTCCACGAGACGTATTAACGCTGATCCAACATTCCCGCTACAATAACACGTAGCACTAAAACAGTGTAATTTATTACAAGCAGCTAGCATAGTAACAATATATTTGTTGTTTCAAAAGGCAAGTGGCTGCGAGATATGCAAATAAAACTTAATAGTCTAAGTAAGTACGTGTATCTAACTCTTGGAGTGGGATGTGATAAGAAGTACTCTTATGTAATTGTTGGCTGAGGCGCAAAACGTAAAAGGAAGACGAATTGAATCGCAACAGGAAGGAGGACAAGGTCAAATGACACGATAACTTCGCCCCGTGTCAAACAATTAATAATAAGTTGTCGTGTGTCATCGTTGGTCTCGTATATCATACCTTTTTCGCTAACTAGGTCGATACATAATCGTACCTAAGTCATTTTGATTACTGTCGCTTTTCGATCATGTTTCGTTTATCTGCGAACCTTTATCGTGACGTATCGAAGTGCGTTCTTTGTTTGATGACATCTTGTATTAAGTAATAGTACTTGAGTCATATTGTCATTCGGTGTTTCGATCGTCGTTATTTATGTGGTTTATTGTAAGTACATGGCTATGCTACATGAGTATTTACTTATCTATTACTAGCGACCCGCCCCGGCTTCGTAGAGGTGCAATATGCATGTATTGTACTTACTTATAAACCTTCCTTGAGAATCACTCTATCTATAAAAAAACCGCAGCCAAAATCCGTTGCGTTGTTTTTAAAGATCTAAACATACATAGGGACAGACAAACGGCGGATAGCGACTTTGTTTTATACTATATATACATGCATATATAGTGAAGTAAACTCATACCAACCTATAATATGTTATGAAAAAAATATGTACCGGTAGGTCCTATTAGCGGAATCATATTATTTATCTTGTGCCTATGTGTGTTCCTATATAATGCATGTACTTTTATTCATTATCCCAAATATTAAAATATCTGGTGGTCTATCTTATTTTCGGTCTTGAACTTGTGGTCAATTTCTTGCAAAATGTATTTTAATTTTCTACATAGGTATGATTGTCCGGGTAATGACTAGGTAAGTAAAATATGTATATAGGTAAAATAACGTTTATGTGTTGTTATATTAAGCATACTAAGTATGCAAAAAGAAGGAATTCATCTTAAAATTCCGAAGCTTTTCCTAAATCTACTGATTTGTTACAATAATCGCTCAGCTGCTGCTGGTATCGCTAAATAAAATTTACAATGGATGGAACCGAACAAAGGTATCAGAGGTATTTCAAAAACGGCATTGCTTTAGTTCAAAGGTGCTTAACCCCAAGTTTTGTGCAAAAAATCGTTTCATTTGCAGCGAGAGCGTTCGCACCGGTACGCTGGAGAAGCTGGGCATATCGCACTGAGAGGCAGCGGATCCGCCGCGCCGGGTGCGGAGGCGCAGGTGCCTGCCGCCCCGCGCCGCGCCGCTCCGCTATTGGCCGCGGCCCCGCGCCCTCCGCCGATTGGGTATGGCGCACGTGCGAGGCTTACCCGCCGCCACCTGGCCGGGCCGCTGACGGGGAGCGCTTTATAAGCGAGCAACCTTCCCTCACCGCACCATTCGAGCTCAGGACGCCGACGAGTGCACGTACACGTTTGTCGCGTTCCGAACACGACCGCTAATACCGCGACTTCGACGATACCTTGTGATATTTGGATTGTTACGATTTTTAAGTGCATTGTGATTACGTTTTATGAACTATTTTTGAAGACTTTCTTTAAGTGTTTGTGAATATTGTGCAAGATGCTCGTGGAGGACTCTCAGACTACTCGGGCTCTCATGACCAAGAAGTACGCACATTGTCCGCTGAAGAAGCGACCTGTGCTGGTTCGGGAGGAGCGGCCAGCGACACCGCCCACTACACCGCCTCACCCCGCCCACCTGGCCACGCGACTGTACTACGATTATCATTGTAAGTTTCTTGTTGTAGTGATTAATTAGATATTATTTTACAATTATCCAGATATGTCCATTTTATGTATCCCATATTAAAATTTTGATCAGTATCCAAAAATTTTCATGTAGAACAAACTACTTTATTTTGTAAATATCTAAAGGAAATTAAAGAAATGATACAGTTAAAAAAAAATTACAATTTAAATATTTCAATATAAAACTTCAATTAACAGTTCCTGGCACAATAATTAAATTTCTTTCGTATTTTGTCCACAGGTGATACAGAAAACGATGAACCCCAAAATCTTAGCACAAAACCAGAAGACCTTTCTAAAACTGGCAACTACCCAAGTAAAGCGTCTTCTCCGGTTTCAACGACAGCAGTAAAGGTGGAACCTCGCGAGTGGCCCCAACAACAACTTGAATATTTGGCTGCGTGCCGCGCTCGCCTAGAACCTGCGCCAGCCGAACTGGCACGCCCTACACCACAGTACGCCTACCTACCACCCATCTACGCACCCTACCCCCTGGAAGAGTTATACCCAGCAGCTCCTTCACTATCCCCACCGGCGCACCCGCAACTCTACGCTCACCATTATTCCCCCGCCTCACCACCGTCATCAGTGTCACCACCACCTTGTCCAGAAGACTTACGCTCACCTGGCTCGGTCTCCTCCGACTCTGGAATATCCGTGTCAGCACCTCGTCGCCCTCGTTACCAATGTCCAGATTGTGCTAAGTCCTATTCAACATACTCTGGACTATCCAAACATCAACAATACCACTGCGCGGCGGCTGAGGGAAGTCTTGCAAGGAAATCATTCAGTTGTAAATATTGTGCTAAAGTGTACACATCTCTTGGAGCTCTTAAGATGCACATTCGGACTCACACACTGCCTTGTAAATGTCACCTCTGCGGCAAAGCATTCTCCAGACCGTGGCTGTTGCAGGGTCACATCCGCACCCATACAGGGGAAAAGCCATTCTCTTGCCACCATTGTCGCCGCGCTTTCGCCGACAGATCGAACTTGCGCGCTCACCTGCAAACTCACTCAGACGTTAAAAAGTATTCCTGCTCGGGATGTGGAAAAACATTCTCTCGCATGTCTTTGCTAAGCAAGCACTTAGAGGGAGGGTGTGGAGTGCCCGGCGCATCCCCGTACGAATACCGACCGGAGGCTATGCCCACATCACACCAGCCCCTTCCTCCATCAGCTCCCGTACATGCCTATTGAAAAGACTGAGCCTCGCAGGATCCTCGATCTCTTATTTAGCTGTATCACTTTGTAATTGTTAGCATTTGCTTACAGACGCTCTAGTAGAATAAGTATTTAATTAAATTATTTTTGTAAATGTTTTAAATCTCAACTGTGTGTAAATTTGTATTTTGTCGTTTGATGTTTAGGGGACCAATGTAAATTTAGACTTTAGTAAGTTAGATAAGTTATTCTAAGTTTATATTCAGTCGCGTAAACCGTGACTTTGCTAGTCATATGGCATTTGCCGAGTGTCATACACTTACTAAAATTATATTTGTATCCTAAGCCATGTACAAAGTGCCTTAAGTATAAATGATTAATATATTCTGAAGAAAAGTATAACATTATGCTATTATTTTAATGTACTCTATTAAAATAATACTTATAAATGAGGCTATAGTTATGCCGATGGTCGAATTGCGTTCCTTTCTGTTACCTCTATATGCAGAAAATTAAACATGTCATAAACTATAAACTGTTGTATGTTTTTCCCATAACCTTTGCTACTTACACTTCAATGAATAGTCTATAAAATATGGACTCTCGAAATCGACTACTATAAAGATACTATTAGGTATCTTCTTGCCTGCCAGTTTGCCAAAAACGGGATGCGCGTGACCATGATGCGTGATCTCCGTTTTGGGAAATAAGTGCTTTTACAAGATCACAATATCTATACAATCTACCACTGTGACATACCCTTATACCTCTATATATCTTACCCACAGGTAAGCTATAGATAAGATATAAAGAATTTTAATTCCATCTTAATCCGCTTATTATTATTTCTGAAAAACACCAAGCTTTTAACTATTTACACATCACACCACATTTTCAACCACAAGAAATGCAGGAATAATTACTTTTACACTAACAAATGTCATCATAGAGTTAGACCTTGTTGTTAGTAACATCATTACCAACAATACTTCACAGTCAAAACTTTCTACAGAAGAACATCAAAATCCAAACTATAAACCATAAGCCATGTTTTAATGGGCAACAAATAAAGCTCGTGTCGCGTCTACTTTAGACGCAATTTGTGGTTCAGTAAGTGGTTATTTAGCGGCAGCGAGTTTATCGAGACAATAGCGCAAAGCACCAGGGCACCGGTCTGATGTGGGTCGAGCATTAGACGGTGGGCGCCAGCCCGCCGCCGACGGTCACCCGGCCACGAGGTCACCACGGACCCGCACCCGCCGCCACCTCCCCTATACCTAATTACTGTAAATACCAAAAATGTCCACCAACATTACTTATAAGTCATTTCATTCTCTAGCCTCGGTATTGCTTTCGATAAAATATTTTCTAATACCTAAGCATCTACAGACTTAAATAAATTATAACTACAACACTGCATATATTTTCTAACATCATGTGGTATTTCTAGACACTTGGGGTCTAAGATTTTTCTAGTCTAAGTTGAAATTAACACATTTAGTGGCTATCTGTCAGCTTAACATTCTTGGCCCCTATAAGGCAGAATAGACTGAAAGCTTAACGATTAGTTTTAGTGCTGGATCGTCATCGTAGCTTAGCAGAATGGCATAGTAAGTACATCTACATGTACTATGTAAGTATTACCTTTACATAATTATATACTATTAATTTGTATGAATACATACAACTAGGTTGAACTTAATATTTAAAGTAGTCATTCGATAAATAAACATTTAAATTTTAATTAACATAATAATCCAACAAGTTTATCAGAACATTTAAAGCAGATCATGAGGGTTACTAGTACGAAAGTTGTCCAATAAGATATTAATCTCTTTGCTAACCTTTAACCCTGTCAGGCAAGTGCACGTTTCTTAAACGTCCGATAGGTACTTATTTAGTGGCACTTTTCTGTACTATTGTTTGAAATTAAGATATTATCGAGACTTAGTTACGCAACTCTATTACAATTAGATTTAGAATAATTTTTAAATGACAACGACATCTGTTGACGAGTAGTTCCAGTTACAGATAGATTGGGAAAAATATTCTTATTTGAAGGTTGGTCGAGGTCGAAGATTTAATTCAGTGAAGTTTCAGCAGCTTTATCTATTAATTTGATACAATATATTATAGAGATGTCATTGTTGAATATTTAATCAGTAAGTCGTTATTAATATATTTTATTACCATGCAATATCCCTCTTTTAGAGGTAGAGTAATCTACGTAAAGTGCAGTTAAATTACGTGAATGCGATAGCTCGGGACACACTGGGCTGCAATAATAGGAGAAAATACACATTATCTTATACTGATACCAATTAGTGGTAGTCAGTGAAGACGTGTTGTCGAGAGCGCGAATGCGTGTGCGAGTCCCAGTGATTGGTCGGCGACGACCACCGAGTGCGGCGCGGCGCGTGCGCAGCGTCCCCGCACTGCGGCCAATCCAATGCATTCTCATTAATTAATTCTGTTCCTATTTGCATCGTGATTATCTAATCCGATATCGATCGCTGATATGCGGTACCAATTAGAGTTCACACCTAATAGTCTAATAGAACTTTGAACTTTTCTATTAGTTATAACTTATAAGTGATCGCCTTAAAGATAACGTAAACTGGTTTCGACACTAATTTGACCTCGTTTGAGAAGAGCTTTGGTATTGTTATGTTTAATTATTTATATCTTTTAAACTAGAAACATTATTAATGCAGTACGGAGATTTTAGATAGATAATAACGTGAACGTGTGTTCGAACTTGTTCGTGAAATAAAGCAAATTGCAAAGTTGCGCAAGCCAGCTTACCGCGACGTTACCGTTTGGCGCTATGTTATGTGTAGCACTGAAGAGGCCACGTCGCCGTCGTACGTAAATATCTAGATCCGTCTAGATTTAGGGCTGGCGGCGGCAATGGACCAAGTCAAGCTGCGGCGATAAGCATGATTTGTAACGTCGCGCTTCGGCGCGTGCGCACAAATAAATGTGATTTCAATGCGCACCTCTCAATAAATTATCTAACCCACTCGTGATATGACATTGTAACGATTTATAATCTCCTCACACACTCGATACATTTCGATGTCGAGGATTTCCGCCTGCAAATCTTAATCTGGATCATGTTCCTAATGACGTCAAAGTAATGATGTAAACTGTCTCATCCAGTTCCCTAGATAATTTTGTAAACATACTTCAGACGAAAAAACTTAGATTATCATAAACTATTTGTTTAGTGAAATAGTAAATTAAGTGTTGATTACTTTTATTAATGGTTGTGTATGTAATATGACACGGCGTGTCGATCGGCTCATTGCAATTACACAATAATATAATCGTAGCACGATTAATCAATACTGTGGAACTGGACATGGCCAATAAAGTTCGTAACAGCTACATGTACGTACTAATCACATTTATAATGTTCAAGAAACAATTTTATACATACATACTTACTTAAATGATTAAATAGTTACATTGAAATACTTTATGTACTTCATTAGGTACACGTGTGTAAACTTACGTGACTCAATAATAAAAAAAATATTAATAATTATGGCTCACATTAACAAGAAACACAAGGATACATAATTATACGTACCTCGGTTAATCTTTTGATGTTAGGTACACCGTCCACGTCCTTCGATTTACTCCTTGTAAATCGAAGCTCAAGTATGATTAAACCAATGTTGTGCAGTTTTATGTCTATTTCTATAGATGACCGTTACGTAACCCATTTAACATTATATGTATTCTATTTAGTTTAAAATTATTAAGGAGTTAGTGTATGAGCCATAGCAATTTAAGATAATTAAGCACTTACCTAATAATAACATAGAAATAAAATTTTGTCATTAGATCATGAAACATTATGGACCGCCAATCAATTCGACTGCCGTGTCACAAAGACAAGCGCATTATAGTACTACCGTCGATAATTTATAGCTTTGTTAATTGAGTTTGATATCCTTTGCTCCGAGTTTCATAACTAATAATTTAATATTGATCAGTTTCTGAGTACCCATAAAATCTTAATGCCGTTATTGCGCAGTGATATTGAACTACAGCACTTGTTTTATTTCTTATATAAGTTTAATAAAGTATTTTCCTTATAAGAAAGCAATAAAAAGTAAATGTAAAAAAGTACGTAAATGTTAAATTAAGGTATAATATCGAAATCTGGTTTTAATAATATTACATATTTCTTTTGTGTTGGCGTTTGTCAACAATCAGAGATCAGAGAGCAAACAGGCATGAGTACATCATAATATACATTTTATGCTTACTCTAGAGACAGATGGTGTCGTTAGCGCGCATGCGCGCAATGATCGAGATGCGACACGTGTGTCACCCGAAGTGTCGCCGAGTGTCGCAGTGTCCCCGTTCGCAGACTTTGCAGTCTGCAGTGTCTGGAGAGTGAGTGTCGCAGTGGAGGTGTGACGGCGACGCGATAAATCGCGCGATCCTGTGCCAATAAGCACAACACAGGCCGTGAGCTATGGGTAGCTGCAAGACGCGTGGGCGGCGACGTCGCGCTTCAACGACTCTGAAAAGATTATTCACCGGTAGCGATGCTTTGTGGATCCGCGTAAATGGATTCTGATGCTTTATTTCCTTAAGCTCAGAAACCGTGATTGCGCAATCTTGGTTTTGTATCAACTCGATAAACAGAAGTGAAATTAAAGCAAATATTTATTGTAGCTTAGATGTCTATATCGCATTATCTATGATACAATACCAGGTAGTTTAACTTATTATCTAGAAATTTTGATGCAGTACTGGTAGAAAGAGAAACGTAAAGTGCTCCTTGTAGAGTTAAAAACACAGCAGTTCGATAATTACAAACATTATTTGGTTTAGTAACTAAAAACAAACTAAATAAAATAACATTAAGTATTAAACTGTTTAAATATCGATAACTTTTATTTACTATTAGATGAAAGAATTTTAAATTAGAGGTATATAGGTAATATATTAAATAATTGTTGAAACTTTGCAACACTGTAGGGTCGTTTCGGTGTGGACATACGTAGAACAAAAGACATCAACGAGCTAGTGGTTGGCGGCGCACGCCGTGTCATTAATATGGAAATGTTTCAAACGTAATAAACTTGAATGGTTTTCAACATAATAATCTTTAATTTATCGCGAATTATGTAAAATCGGAAGTAGGTATAAACGGTTATACGTAACTTTCATTGGCTTTTTTATTTGATACCAATAAATAAACAAAGATTATGGAAGTGAGTAGGTGGCGTGAGTCACGTGTCGAGCATCTCGAGGCTCGCAATAAAAACATACTTAAGCATAATACTCGGCAGTTGAGCACCCGCCCCGCCGCAAACATTAGCATCCAATGTTAATTAAAACCGTCCTCGTCGTCTTTCTTGTAGAATATGAACCAGATAATAAAATATGTGGTCAGTTGGTTCAGTCGCATACATTGTATGTGACGTAAATCGATAAATAAAGGATTGATTAAATGTTTTCAGCAAAATAAATACCTACTAACTACATATATTAATA